CCTTTAATTCCCCAACACATAAAATCCGACATTTTCAGTAATGAAGACCTGCTACCGATTTAATTTTACTCATGAAATATATCTAATTTTATTCATTCTCATGGAATGCAGGGCATGGCTGCATTTCCCAGTCGTAGCCGTTGTAATATCCTGGATCTGAGTACTATCTTTCGTATAGGCGACTTGCGTGCTTCTTGCAAGGTAAAGGAACTAAGTTCCAGTCGATGGTACCACGCTTTTTCGCAACAGCCATTCGCTGAAGTAATTTTGGCAGAATAATTTACTGCTGGGTGCCCTTGGAGATGGGTGACCCCCTTTTGCGATGTAATGCTTGCTCTTGTCAATTTTTTTCTCTAAAGATTTAGCTTGGCTGCCCCAGAGAATCCACAGTGTTGTAAAGCGCATTAGAACATTGCATGGAAATGCGCTATAGAAATTGATGTTATTATTATTATTAATCCAGATAGATGAATTTGTTTCTTCACTGATATACTTCACTATTTCCCTGCTGAAACCTCTCCAAAGTGGTATGTATGTGGGAGCCAATTTTATTTTGAACCAGGGTCAATACTTTGTTAACCAAGAGGACGCCTTACTTATCCCAGCTTTCCAAAATACCAACTGAAGGGTTGACGCAGTACCCCTCGTTTCGAGCCTCGAGGATCACTCATAAGACACTTTGGACCTCCCAGGTATACACTGTGGGATCCAGACTAAAAGAGAGCCCGGTTGCTAGTCCGGATTGAGGAGCTGGATCTTTACCCATGCTAATGGCTTTGCCTTGATCGGGCGGAACCATGTGAAAGGCTCTAAAAAATCCAGCCTATCTTGGGATTCAGTCCAAGTCCTTCATTCTTGGAGTCGCTTTGGAGGCGACTTCTTCTCGGTTAAAGAATCCCTCTCATCCTCTTGGCTGGCGAGATGACTCGTAGAGGATTTCCATTAGAGTATGTGTCTCGCAAGTGGCGGCTTCCAGTAGCTCTGCATTAGTCATCTTGCATTTCTGCACGCTTGATGCGAATACGACCTGCTTAGAGTAAAGACGAAGAAGGGTATGAAATACTGTCTCCACCATTTTTAAATAGTCACGTACTTATATGACTTCCTAAGGCAAATTGAAAACTTTGCACTCATGATTGATTCCGTTTTTGATCCTTGTTACTATTTTTGAACTCAATTCCTGAAGGCAAAGCTTGAAATAGTTGTGTTTTCCCTCCAAGTACACTTTTAGAGAGGACCTTACCAGGAACGGCTAGATCAACGATGTTATACCCTGCTTTCTTCACTCCAAGAAATGCCGTGCCCATCAAATCTCATTATTGTACTTATTTGGCCTTCCCACGCAGATATTAAAGCTACGCTCTTATCATGAACTTGTGAATGGTTCCTTTTTTACCACTCATACTTACTTTTCTCTTCATTTAAAAGTTGCTTTTTCCCTCCTTTACTTAGAACAGTTAAATCAACAATTTCGTAACCTGCTTTCTACAGTCTAAGTTGAGGGATATTGAAATACTTACTTACCACCACATAAGGGCAAAAAGGATGCTTCCAGGAGAAAAGCCAGGATCTTCATTTCTATAATGTTCAGCTTGTAGCACCTGCTAGAATGAAAACTCTTCTCATGTGAAAGTGTCTTTCGGTAGTTATATTGAAACGCAAATTGCATAAATATTGGGGGAAACGTGTAAGCGATTGTAATGGTGAATACCCGAGTGAAAAAAAGATGTTACCCAGCGATAAAACTGCATCTTCTCTTGGACAGAATGCTCTTTGAATCCGATTGGTTGTGTGAGATAGTACAGAACACAAGTACAGAACACAATCACCCAGAACTTGCTCGGTAATTGGTCAATCGGTTCGTTGAAGACGTAACAACCGGAAATAACTCTTACTGGGAGGAAGCATTACTTAAGAAAAAGGAAAAAGGAATTTTAAAAACAGCTCAGCTGTCAGAGATTCTTTCCTCGATTAACTCTTCCTAAAGACAAAATAACTTTTTTTTTTAAATTTTTGTTATGAAACTGACTTTTTTAAAATTCCTATCTGAAAATCTTAAAATTAAATATATCTTATTAACCAAGCGCGAGGGCCGTACTGGGAGAATATCGGCTCGAGGTCTTGACTGTACGGACCGAGCGCAGCGAGGTCCGTACAAAAAAGACCGAGGGCCGATATTCTTCCAGTACGGTCCCGAGCAAGCTTGGTTAATAAGAGATTTATTATACGACTGAAGTTCAAAGGGACACAAGTGCGGTATCATTCGGGACCATTCGGGACAGTGCCCGGTCCAATACT